CTTGAAGCTCCAAGAGAGGAGGAAAACTGAAACATCACTCTTGAACCACTCCAGCTTCAAAGTCTTCGGAGGAATGATTCTCCTACCCGCATACCACTCAAAGTAGTAGTCTTGGGTCTCTTTGTCAACAAACCACTTGGAGATCAATTGCTCAGCTCTTGTGGGCAGAGGTCTTTTGCTTGAAGCTCCAAGAGAGGAGGAAAACTGAAACATCACTCTTGAACCACTCCAGCTTCAAAGTCTTCGGAGGAATGATTCTCCTACCCGCATACCACTCAAAGTAGTAGTCTTGGGTCTCTTTGTCAACAAACCACTTGGAGATCAATTGCTCAGCTCTTGTGGGCAGAGGTCTTTTGCTTGAAGCTCCAAGAGAGGAGGAAAACTGAAACATCACTCTTGAACCACTCCAGCTTCAAAGTCTTCGGAGGAATGATTCTCCTACCCGCATACCACTCAAAGTAGTAGTCTTGGGTCTCTTTGTCAACAAACCACTTGGAGATCAATTGCTCAGCTCTTGTGGGCAGAGGTCTTTTGCTCCCCCTAACTTCAAGCTTCTTGATTCTCTTGGAAGATAAGGCCATTTTGTGATTAAAGATGGGTTCTTGGTTGGAGATGAGAAGATGAAGAAGAATGTGAGATATATGGGTTAGGGTTTGAGTGTGAGAGTTGAGAGAATGTGTGGGTTATTTGTAAAATAAAAGGGTTAGGTGTTATTAAAGCCCTAGACACCAGATTGGGTAAAAGAGAGGTGCCACTTATGAAGGAAAGTGGGAGATTGGGAGTTAGCGCGAATAAAACCGTTTAAAAACTGTCTGGAAAACCAAGAGTCGCGAAAATAATCGATTATCTATACAAATAATCGATTATTTGTATCAGTAAAATCTCTTGAAAAACCTTTTCTACACTAAATAATCAATTATTTTTAGAATAAACGATTATTCCAGAGGGTCATAGTGATAATCAAAGTGCATTGTTTATGGCTCAGAATCCTATTGCTCATAAGCATGCTAAGCATATTGATTTGGATTGTCACTTCATCCGTGAGTTAGTTGCCTCTGGTCGCTTGGCTGTTCGCCATGTTCCTACTTCTCTACAACTTGCTGATATTTTTACAAAGGCGTTGCCTCGTCCGTTGTTTGAATTGTTTCGATCCAAGCTTCGTGTTGGTCTCAATCCAACGCTTAGCTTGACGGGGGGTGTTAAGAGCTAGTTATCAGGACTAATATCCTACCATTTATTCTCTCATTATTATGATGTAATTTCCTGTTTTACATTGTAATCTTTTTCTTTAAATCATATTGATTGCCTCAGACAAATTGTGGTGAGATTTATCACATCTTACACAAGAAAATGATACCTCGAAGACCAACAAACTTCTTTGATCTCTAATCTTGAATCTATCTTTGAAAGACAAAGTTCTCCATTCAGATATAGGCACATGACTTATGTCAGATGAGAGGGTGAAATAATATGCATAAAGTCATAGGCTCAAATCTTGGTATTGTAATTATAATCCCAATGGATAAAAATAAAAATAAACATTCCACAAATCCTCCAATCAGAAAATTATTAGAGAAATACTTAATCAAGTGTCATTACTAAATAACTTTAAATAGTTTACTTTTTTCACAAAATTATCCCAAATCATGAAGAATAAAATTGTAAAAATAGATAAAAAGTGAAATCTTAAGTTAATTCTATTAATTAAGCAAATTATGGCTAAAAATGAGTTGAGTTGAGTTTAGTCAAGCTTGGTTCAGTTCGATTCGATAACATTTGACTCGGCTTGCAATTCGACTCTAGTTTGTCATGAGCCTTTTTTTTTCTAGCTCAAACTCAATTCAATTCAAATTTGTAACAACTCGGTTCAACTTGTTAACTCAAATCACATGAACCAAGACTCATGTATTCTTTTTTAAATCTTATACATTTTAAAATTTCAATTTAATAATAAATTTTATTTTTTTAAAAGACAAAACATAACTTATTCTATTAACTTTGCAAAATAACAAGGTACAACTCTAAAAAAACATGATTACAACTAAAGTCTATAAATTAAAACTAACTTTGCATAAAATAATAAAAAAAACTCAATTCATAATCATGAAATTCTAAAATATTCACTTCTTTTATTATTATTATTATTATTATTATTATTAACTTATAACTAAGTTTTGAAATTTCTTTCAGATTTTAATAAGCTAAAATTAAATAGAAAGTTAATTATACGAGTTATATATTTATATGTCAAATTGATTTAAGAACTAAACGAATTGAACTATACACAACTCAAATTCAACTCATTTATTTATCAAACTTAATCTTTAATTCAAATTCAATTCATTTATTTTATGAACTAAGTTCAATAAGTTAATTATAGAATTAAGTTTTAAACTATTTTCAAGTTAGTTTAATTCATTGTCATCCCTACATCAATTCAAACAAGCATATGCAACCAAGACAGGAGTAAGATTATATGATCAAAATATTTTTTTATTATAAATTTTAATTATAATATAAATTTAATATTAAGAAGTACTTTTTTATTATAAATTTTTAATTATATAAAATTAAAATATGTCATATATATATAAAAGCTAAAATACTATATTATTATAACATTATAAATAATATATATACTTAAAATATTATTTATCATAAACTTTAATTAAAATGTAATTTATTTTTAAAAAAATATGAAGATACGAACTAATAAAAAAAACTTCATAATTAAAACAAGAAAACATTATTTATTTATTTAAGACATTCATTGTTAGACAAGAAATAAAACTCGTATCAGCTAAAATAATAATAATAATAATAAAAGAGAAAAAGAAATAAAACTCAACGGGTGCAGGTGCAGGTGAAGGTGCAGCTACAGCTAGCTAAGAAACAGAGTGTGAAGGTTTTGCGCCGCGCCGCCGCACTCCGTCCGAAAGCGTCGTTGTTGGGAAACCCTAGAACGCAAACGACGTCGTAAATGGAGGTGGAACCTGTGGAGCCACAGTCGCTGAAGAAGCTAAGCTTCAAGTCTCTGAAGCGCGCTCTCGATCTCTTCTCTCCCATTCACGGACACCTCGCTCCTCCCGATGCCGACAGGTTCTTCGTTTCTCTTCCCTTTTTCTCACCCTCTCCGCAATCCCTTACACTAACGCTCATTCTAATTTCTCCTGCAGCAAGAAAATACGCATTAGCCACAAGGTTAGTTACTTAATCTCAATGCTCGTGTGAGTGTTTCTCATCAAACCCTAAATTGAATGGACTTTGGAGTCTTGTGAGTGCTTTTAAGGTTTTGGATGTTTGGATTATTAACTGAGGCGGTTATGTTTTGATGTGTGGTTTGGAATGAAAATTAGGTGAGTGTGGAGTATGGTGGAATCAAAAGCACCGTCAATCAGCCTCCTCGTCAAGTTAGTTCCTCCACACAGGATAGTGCTCAACAAGCAGGGTCCTCTAACACTGTTGCTCTTCCAGGTATTTTACTGGTGTCAGCATTTGGATTGGTTATTTTGTTATAGGAAAGTTATTGAATTGATTGTAGGGTGGTTGCAGTTTCTCAGTACCTTCCTGTCGCATTGCCGTTATCTTTGTTACACCAGTATGAGTGTAATGTTGCTGTGTGTTTTCTTGACTTTGTAGGAGAGTGAGATCTGTGTATCTGTTTTTTGGGTAGTTTAGTATATGATTTTGATTTTTGAGGGTGAAATAAGTAGACATAAGCTGACCCTAGCTCTCAGGAATCAGGACAACTCCTTTGTCCATAAGAAGTTTATTAAAGGTCAAGGACACAGATTTGAAATTGATGTGCTTGTTGTAATCACTGTTAAATGTTTGTGAGAACCAATCATTTTAGACTATATTTAAACAATGCCAACTCTTGTTGTACGTGCCTTTGCTTAACTCTTGAATCTTGAACCGATGCTTTTCTGTTTCCCCTTTTTTGAATGTTATGATGCACACGCCGTTGACATTTGATAGAAAGAGGTTGACATGCCCTCTTGTGTGTTAAGCTGTTCTGCCCCAAAATGTACTCCCCTCCCTTTTGAAATTTAATAATAATGTAATTATTCTTCGATAATTAAGAGTACCTGGTTGTTAGTGCTCAACATGTTGATATTGTTTCTTATTTTTTAACAGCTCCTGGAGTTTCCAAAGATCCCCAGAAAGGAAGACCACAAAATGCCTTGGTTGTTGGTCCAACTATGCCATCCACAACTCCGTAAGTATTTTCTTCAATTTTCATGATCTTTGCATCTATAGATGGGCAAGGGAGAGTTTTTTTTATATTTGTGAATAATGCTTTGCTCATGCTTATTGGATATTTTTTTGGTATAGTTCATCAATTATTTATAAAAAATTATATTCTCTGACATATTGGCCTATATAACAGTCACAATTGACTTGCAAAAGTTTAATAATGAATCATGTAGTGTTTAGTATTTTAAAATATTGTTGAAGAACCTATTCAGTGTTCTGTGTAATAAATAACTGTTTATGATGTGAAAAATGATGGAACGTGAAAGTTTGCTGATGTGTGACTTTTGATTTAGAAAAAGGGGATTCCATGCCTTTGAAAGTATATTGTTCCATTTGTCTCTTTTTTTTCCTTGTAGTAAGAGATTTTAATACAATTTTTTGATTTCATGTGCATTATAATGCTGTGTTATTGTAGAAAGGAAAGCCATTGGCTGTGAAATTGAAATTTAAGGCTGTTGGTTCTTATGTTTTTGTTACTGTACAGGAATGATATTGGCTTTCAGAGCAAAAGTACAGCAATTGTTTCTGCATCTGGTTCATCTGAAAGGTTCAGGCTTTCTCTCAAAGCTTTTTATAGATTAAAGAGATTCCAACATGATTTGTTACTTGTAGCTGTGTGTGGCTGTTGCATTATATTTTTCTAAGAGTGTAATGCTTATTTTGTTGGTTCTGTGCACTATCTTGTGAAAATTTCTCAATATGTTTATGCATTTGGCCTATGTAGGATTAATATTCTCTTGGAATTATAATTTGACTAAATTATGATTTCTATAATACAGAAATTTATCAACATCTGCTTTGATGGAAAGAATGCCAAGCAAATGGCCCCGTCCTGTATGGCATGCACCATGGAAGAACTACCGGGTGGGAACCTTGTCTATATTTAATGATGGATAAGTGGCATTAGTATTTATGATTTTTCATTATCAGATTGTTTGAAACAAAACAAATGTAATTGGCCATGTTTTTTAGGTGAGACAGACCTCAGCTTAGTTCCATCATACTTTTGCCCCTATTTTCTTACAACCAGTGCAAGGTTACCTTGGATTCACATTCTCACATAAATTAGTTATATATAGAAAAGTCTGACTTGTATGAAAGTTCTGTTTGACAACCCCACATATTGAGGGAATCTTAGAGCTTGTTTGCTGCTTTGCTTTGCTGATTTAACATTTTTATTTTATTAAAAACAGAAGATGGTATTAACATGAGCCCACTCAAATTTAGTTAAAATTTAAAATGAAAATTGAAAAAGTTCATAGTCTTGTCAATATATGTAATTTTCAAATTCTATTTTCTGAGTGCTTGAGTATAGGCTTTGGGTTCGGTTGCTTGCTCATGATGTGTATATCTTTATGCTCTGTTGAATCTAAGCACACTCAATTATGATTGTAATTAGGTCTACAATTGAAATGAGAGATATATTGCTTATTTTTTTGTGGCAGGGGAGCCACTGAAATGGAGTGGTTAACCCATACCTCATTTTTTATTTGAAGCATAGGATTGTGGGGTTAGAGACCATTTTATGGTTTACTGATAAATAACTAATAAAGATCTCTAGCTAAGAGGAATGCAATTTCTGAAGCATTTGTGCTTCTATTCAACTATGCAAATTTCAATTTTGAATGTCGGCTATTCAAATGGCATGATATCTAATTTGAATCAAATGATTGGTTTCTATGTTGTCTGGATTATTTTTATCTTATGTTCTTATCAGGTTTGACCTACATATTCAGAGGCCTTTTAAATTGTAATATTCTAGATATAGTTAAAGTTCAGTGATTTTAATCTTGATTTATTTTATCTGTAGGTCATCAGTGGTCACTTAGGATGGGTGAGATCTGTTGCAGTTGATCCCAGTAACACATGGTTTTGTACTGGTTCTGCAGATCGAACTATCAAGGTATTTGAATAGAGAATGCATGTCATAGTTGCATGTAATGAGGGAACGTGTGGTGTTCATTAGAAGGAAAACTTAGTGAACCATGTTGAACTGTTGATTGTGTTTGTTACTTTTCTTTATAATTTAATCTAAACAATCCTGCTGTTTTATAATTATTTCCAGAATTGGACTTTCTATCTGCTGCATATTTTTGTTGTTGTTGGTAATTATAGGATATTTAGTGCCTTTGCAAGATTACTTTGATCTTGAGGCTTTGATTTTCCTAGTGTTATCTTTTTACCCAAAATTTTAATTATTTATTTATTATAAATATTGATATTATTACCGTCTAGTGATTATAAATGGAAGCTACAAGTTTTGAAAGTTTATGAATTTATCATGCAAAGTATATCATTTTTCTCTGTTCTAGTCAAAACTTTAGATGGTTTGCTAAGTTGTTCTTTTGGGCAGATATGGGACTTGGCAAGTGGAGTATTAAAGCTCACACTAACCGGCCACATTGAACAAATAAGAGGTAAGTTGCTAATGTATTATTGGTGGTGACCCCAATTGTGAACTGGGTTAATTATAACAATGTACTTTTTTTAACAGGCCTTGCTATTAGCAACAAACACACTTACATGTTCTCTTGTGGTGATGATAAGCAAGTTAAGTGCTGGGATCTTGAACAGAATAAGGTCAAATCCCCATTTCAGTATTCAATTTGCTGGCCTGAATATTTCAGCAGTTACCAGAACTACATCAAATAACAGGCCTACTAAAATACATGTTATTGTATATAGGTTATTAGGTCTTATCATGGTCATCTGAGTGGTGTTTATTGCTTGGCTCTTCATCCCACGATTGACATTTTACTAACCGGAGGACGTGATTCTGTCTGCCGGGTATGGATTTTGTTTATATAGTGACCTTATCGTAAATATAGATGAATGTGTTCCTTTTTGGCAAACAGTTTTTAGAAGATTTTTTTTAATCTTTTATTAAGGATAGAATAGTGATATTTATACTTTGGTGATACTAAATTTTCAGGTTTGGGATATACGTAGTAAAATGCAAATTCATGCCCTTTCAGGTCATGATAACACTGTCTGCTCTGTGTTTACACGGCCAACGGTATGCAGATTCTTCTGTTGTCTATATCAATTCTTCTTTTGATATTTAGTTGTGCCACAATATTGCACAGTCAGTAGTATACATGCATATCTAGTTTCATCCTCCGATTTGATATGATAAATGTGAAAACATACTTCATTTAAATGCAGCTCTCTGAAACATATCTTAATTTGTTTCATTTTTTTAAACCTATTTTTCTGCCATTCAGAATTCTGTTATTTTGTTTACAGGATCCCCAAGTTGTTACTGGTTCTCATGACACTACCATCAAGATGTGGGACCTTAGATATGGTAATTTATGATTTTATTTTTTTTCCCATCTTGTTTGTCTCTGCTATGATTATATGCACATTCTTACACTTGATGGTTTCGTCCAGGTAAAACAATGTTAACCCTTACAAATCATAAAAAATCTGTTCGAGCAATGGCTCCACATCCCAAAGAGTACGTGTTTGATAACAGTTGATTTTACTTGTTGAATGATAAAAAATGGGTTATTAATTAAATTTGCTATTCCTTTTTGTCTTCACACCCTCTTTTGTTTTCTGCTGGCTGTAGACAATCTTTTGCATCTGCATCAGCTGACAATATTAAGAAGTTCAACCTTCCAAAAGGAGAATTCGTGCACAATATGCTGTGAGTTCATAAACTTATTTTTACCAAATTTATGTGATTAAGAAATCATTGATAATTAATAGGGTGTTGGACAGTTTCCTGGGGGATGACACGAACAAGAATTTGTTTATTTCCGTTGTCTTAACTGAATATTAAAGCTCGAATTATACTGCTCGAAAAGATATGATTAGAAAGATGTTGCTCTAATGATTGATGTCTTTTCGTTATTCTGCTTTATGTGCAGCTCTCAACAGAAAACCATCATCAATGCAATGGCTGTCAATGAGGAGGGTGTGATGGTCACTGGAGGTATGGAAACAATTAAAACTCTGTTAAGGAAATAAGTTTGATAGAATAAATTCAATTAATCCGTGTCCCAATTTTTCATGTCCATGTGATTAGGGATTAATCCCCCCAATCTTTGTACTGAAGAATTTGACATGGATATTATTTTGTTTCCCTTACATTAAACTTCAAGCCCTTTTTTCCTGGTTGAAGGTGACAATGGCAGTATGTGGTTCTGGGATTGGAAGAGTGGTCACAATTTCCAGCAATCCCAAACAATTGTACAGCCTGGTATGCATGTTCGGCTGCTGTTGGATGTTTAGTTTGATGCTAGTTAGCGCTGTCATACTCATACACGTTATTGACAAGTACAATTAATACACCTGCTTTCCTCTTCCTCTACCTCTTCCCCTTACAGGTTCATTGGATAGTGAAGCTGGCATTTATGCTTTGACCTATGATGTTACTGGTTCAAGGCTAATATCATGTGAAGCTGACAAGACGATAAAAATGTGGAAAGAAGATGAGACTGCAACTCCAGAAACCCATCCTCTTAACTTCAGGCCTCCTAAAGACATCCGTCGATTCTAGACATACACAAGATTGGAGGTCTTGGTGTAAATTTACTTGATGGGTGATTCAGTGTTCTCCTTTAACAGGCTTTAGTCGTCATTTTTGTATCAATGGATTGCTTGTAAGATTATTCCTACATAGATCCTTGTGTATTTCTATAGCTTTGCAATTCAGTTGTGTCCACACACCTGAAAACAGGCGGGTGCCTCCTTGTAGAATTCAGTAGACTCGTGCATGTTATCTGTTAGACGTTAAATGAGAGTTTCTCAAAAAGTTAAAAAGTATATAAATTAGTTTCATTTATTTTATCATTTTGCTTTTTCTTATAAATATTTATTGAAAAGCTAATGTAAAATTGGGCCTTAATTTTGTTACAATTAGCTTGATGACCCTAATTTTAAGTATATAAATTAATAACGGCAATGATGTGTATATCCCATAAGCTGCTCGCAGCCAACCGCATCAATTCACCAGATTGAACAGTTCTTATACCAAACAAGGACGGATTCTAGCGTGGGAACTAATAGTGTGTTTGGATGGAGAATTTACATGGAGTAATTCATTTATTTAAAGAATTTTAATTTCTTTGAGGTAAAATACCTTGTTTGGATGAGGAATTTATAAGGAATTTGAAATTCAAGCATTTGTGAAATTTCTTAATAGTAGAATTTCAAATTCTCCCAAAAGAGTAAGAATTTGAAATTCCTCATACTTTTATCTTCTTATTTCACTTATATATTTTATCTTATCTCTTATCTCTTCATGTTTTTAATTATTGAATATTCAAAAATATATTTAAAATTATTAAATATTATCTACTATTAATTTTTAAAATTATTAAATATTTAAAAATTAGCTAATATTTATTTTTTTAAAATTTAATTTAAAAATCTCAACATATAAATATATTTTTAAAATTAATTTTATCATGGTGGAATCAAATTATCATATCTAACCTAACAATTTAAAATTTGAGAAATTTGAATTGACTTATCCAAACAAAATATTTTAACAATGATAGAAATTGAAATCAAAGTAATTCAAATACCAAGAATTTAAAATTCCTTGAATTTGTAAAATTCCTCATCCAAACACACCATAAATGTTTTTTACTGTGCGAGACGAATATCAACCATTGGATATATATGTTTTTAATTTAGCGGATATAATTTAATATTGTTAAATAGATCAGGTTTTTAAATGAATATAATTATTTATAAAATAAATATTTTACTTAGTTAGAGATTAATTTACGTGTCTTTAGTTGCACGTATGACGGTGTTAGTGTTACGGCGCTGTTTGCACTAACGTAGAAGGTTGTCTCCAAAATTAGTAATTCCAACTGCATGTCTAGTTTATTTATTCAAGTTATTAGCCCTGTAAGTTTTCATTGTTGTTGAACATTTTAAATGTTTTAATCTTTTTGAAATCTTCAACTAGAGAATTTATCTTTTTTAAAAATAAAAAAAAAGAATGTAGGGGAAAGTTTAGAAACTTAATTTTGCCACCATCTCTGCTGAAAGTGAGGGAGTTAATAGTGCTCTGAGCATTATATTTATTGAGAATCATTTAATTTGTCTATTGGGGGATAACATTTTTGAAATACCTGTGAGCTTGATTAGTTTTTTCTCTTTTAATCTATCACTCGGTTCGTTATGTGTAGATGAAACTTTGTAATTGAAGTCCTATAGCTATTTTATATATAGCACTGAAGATGGGAAATGATTCGTGAACAAAAAATTAAACCATTTAAAACAATTCTTAACGATGATGCAGTCATTGGTAAACAAAGTGAACAGATTAGTTATCGAGCTGTAGCTACAGCGATATAATCATTTTTTTTTCCTTTTTCAAATGAAATAATTTCACTTTTGAGAATGAATATAAGATGTTGGAGCTTGAAATTAGAAGGCAGCCGAAGACAGACCCATATCCAGAATGATGAGTATCCTCAGTTTGTTCTCATGATATCCACAGGGTAAGAGTGAATTGTATCCCTCCATGCAGTTGCAGTGTCTGGCTTCACGTCACACACACACTTCCAAACCGCACTGTTACACTTGAATCCACTTCCAAAGGCAATTTGCCACACCCTATCCCCACGTTTCATCCTCCCTTTTGCTTCTATGTAGCTCAGCTCATACCAAATTGAAGAAGATGAAACATTTCCAAACCTATAAAGAGTCATGGTTGACGGCTCCACGTCCTGTTTCCTCAGCCTCAAGTTTCTTTCCACGGCTTGTATGATGGCTCTTCCCCCTGAATGTATGCAGAAATGCTCAAAAGCATGGTTGAAATTTGGAGTATAAATGCTTATTCTCCTTGCACTCCACAGCTTGCGACAAACAATGGAAAACAAATATAGGAATTGCTCCCTCAAAGGCAGAACCAATGGTCCTAGTGAAGCTATATTTTTCTTCAGTGCATCACCAGACACATTGACTATGTTCTTTGATATTGATACACCTTCCTTGTTCTCTGGATCCCCTTGTTGGTACACACAGCCATGAGATTGACCATCCTGTGCTGTGATTGTTCTGACAATATGCTGCAGTGTATACTTTGCCTTGTGCTTATCTTGCACCCTGCTAGACATCAATATAGCTGCTCCACCCATTCTAAATAGACAATTAGATAGCAGCATAGAAGGGACTTTGCCAGTGTACCAATTTAGGCTAAGAGTTTCTGTGCTAACTATCAAAGCCAATGAATTCCTATGAACTCTCAACAAGTCCTTAGCCAGACTCATTGATATGATTCCAGCACTGCATCCCATACCTGACAGGTTGAAACTCATGATGTTGCTCCTCATTCTGAACTTGTTAACCACCATGGCACTAAGAGATGGGGTGGGACAAAACACACTACTATTGGTGATGAGTATGTCAATGGCTTTAGGGTTGATGTTATGTTTCTCAAACAAGTCTTTGATTACTGAACACATTATTGTTTCAGCCTCCTCTAGGGCAAAGGTGAGAGCCTTTACTTTAGGTATCTGAGCAAGGGATGGAGAAATGGATGTTTGCTCACTGAATCCTGACTTGGCCATGATCTTGCATTGGAAAGCAACAGCCTCAGGATCCATGTTATCATAAAGTTGATTCTCTTCAAACATGGCCAGTGGTAGCCTATAGGAACTGGGTGCACAGTAGCAGGTGAAGTCTACCAAATAAATGGGTGATTTTCTTCTGCATGCAAAGTAGAGGGTTGCTAGAAATGCAACCAAAAGCAGTGCAAAACAGTGATGAGGTGAGATAATAAGATCAGTGATAGTGTTGACATGTTGTGTCAATGTTTCCAATGAGGAACAAAAATTGTAAGGTTCCATTTTGTTAGAAGTTTGAATTTAATTTGTTTTGGCATGGGGTTGATCTTTTATGTGGTGATTATATGAGAAAGGAGATTGTCATGAAAAGAGAGAGTTAAGGAAAATGTGGATGGAGCTGAGCATAGCATTCTTTTAGTGCTTGCCTAAATAATGGCTATGTGCGCGGTAACGTCCTTTCATGCTAGGAGTTGCCTATTATTTATTTATTTTTATATCCAGCATTGTTAAAGATTTTGTTTTTAACTTGATCAGCAGCTTCAAATACAGGTTTGGATATCCAACTACATTAAATTCTCATAAGAATTTTGTTGCTCATAACAATCCTATCTCATTCGAAAATGATTATTTTTGATAGATGATACATGTGATATATAGATTAAAAGAAAAATAATTTGTGAATTAATTTGACTTTTTATGGTCTACATGGGTTAGAGGAAAAAAATAAAGAAGAGAAAAATATGGATAATAATGCCTCTTCTATTTAGTTAAAAAAAATAAAACAGAAAAAATAACTTTTAAAAGTAAAAATTCAACATTTTCTTCTTTTCCATTTTTTCTTTAATTCAAATTTCAAAATTTTCTCATCCTTCACTTTTTTCCCTCTAAAGTAAATAGAAAGTTGGTGTGGGAGTAGTATATTGAATTGATTGAAGTTAAGATTAAAAATTGATCGATTTCATTATTTAAAAACAAAAGATTTAACACCACATGAAATTGTATATATACATCTTTAAAGTTTATTTTAAAATTAGTAGAATAACTTTGTTTTGTTGTCCAATTTTTGTATTGAAAAACATTTTTCAATATTTAAACGAAGGAGAGTGTCATCCGTCAAGAGTCCAACAAAGTCCCTTTTGATAATGAACTATTTTACAACAATGAGAAGAGTTCCCTTTCAAGAATGTCTGAATTGATTAAGATATGAATTACAACAATAAATAAAATACCAACAATTCATTAGTCATTGGTTTGAGTGATACTAAATTCGTTTTCCTTAAACAAAATCTCAAATTTAAGTTATATATATGAAAAAAATGTGGTTGAGAAAAGAGATTTTACAAAAGGTAGTCAATCATGTTCACGGATTACCAAAAAAAGTAATAAATAAGGTCGAACTTGACAATCTAAAATCATACTAATTAGAATAACCAACCTCATCATCTTATCTAACTTAACAAGTTATTGAACACTTGCTTATCTCACTAATTAATCGAAAATTACATAAATTCATAATAATTAGACAAGTTGTCTTTAAATTTACACACAATCCTTAAATATTAATTTTTCTTTCATTATAAACGGTTAGGACACACAAACCATTTACTAAACATCTATAAAAACTTTACCATGACATAATATTATGTTCCTATTAAAGCTTTACTAAGAATCTATCTTATGCTCATCTCAACATGAGCGTTAGAGTATTTTTTTTTTGTAATCACCTCCTTCATCACACACAACCTTGGCTAAAACCAAAAGGATTCTAAAGCTCTAAGTCAAGTAGAGCATCCTCCAACTACTAGCATCTAGACAACACCAAGTATTACATTATGTTACTCGTATTGGTACTGTCCAAAAGTTAGTACTCATACAGAGTCAAAATCAGGAGAAGTGAATGAATAAGTGAGTAGTGGTAAACTTTCATGAACACTTCTACCTCCTCATTGCAGCCCTTACCTAGAATAGGAAAGGCTCGTAGATTATGCATTTATAGCATCTTAAATACAGATTATACTAGAACAAATTGTTGAGTATAATTAGTTCAGCAGAACTAATAATCACGTTTGGAATAGGAAGTTAGTCCAAGCTGGAGACTTGGAGAGTCATTTTCCAACCTTTACCAAGCCAAGTGAATGCCACAACTTTTTTATCTTAACGCATGGATTGATTCCGCTTAAATCAAGAGAAACAACAGTTTATTTTGCAAAAGCTCTTATGAAGCAAACAAAAATAAACAATTATTTCTCCAAAATAAATTAAACCAAACACGAACTTTCTCAGTTTTCTATCCTCTTCCTTCGCATTCTCAAACAAACACACTAATCAAGGGCTCAGTGTGACTCATTATCTACTCACTCAATTACAAATAAGTAGACTGAGGAAGGCTTCCTCTTCTGCAATTAATTCAGGTAACTTAATAAAGCAAGCCAAAATCCCACACCTTATTTGCATTTAAAGATACTTGATGAATTGGATACGTCAGTAAACTTGCTTTCATGTAACTTACACACACATAATCACGACCTAGGAAGAACAGGAGGAGCCATTCACTCCAATAATTGCATTTAAATGCCTCAAAGGGTGCCCAAATTTTTACAGACAAAATAGCCTTTCCAAAGATCAGAACAAAACAATAGGACAGCAGCACTTGATACCATGAGTGTAAGAAATCTCAATTTCCGGTGTAAGCAATAACAACAATTTTATGCATCCACAAGAAATTGACCTAACAAACTTTACTACATGCCATAAGCATTTGACTGAGTTATTATTACTGACTTTAAACTCGGTGTTAAATATATATTTTCTGATTTTCCTTATTTCTTAATGCAACTACGAGTTCTTGATATTCCTAGTCCATCCGGAAAAGTAACGTGTTGGAAGTCCCTTTCTCAGTTTCTCATTTTTGGTCCGCATGCAGCCACTTTGTGTCCTATATTCACTACGCTGGCTGCCATTTGATGTCCTTCTGGTTCACTTCCTGCAGGTCATCGGGAGGGACATTGTCAATTTTCAGAAAAGGACCAATATTTATAACTATCAAATTGCGTACAAGATTTTTTACTTTCCCATCATCATGTAACCCAAAAATGGTTTTTACTTTACCTTGTTCAAAGCTAACAGGTAGGCAAAATAGCTAAGTGGATAATTTGGTGTTTGTACTTTTTGGAGAGATCTCTCATACTTTGATGCATAAGGACTTGCTGTTCATCTCTTCTAACCTTTTGAATCCTGATACAGTTTCTTCTCAATCAGTATGTGCATAATAAGCTAAGGGCCTTAACAATGCAACCAAGAACCAACACTCATGGCTACCAGTAGTCTCTGCAAGAGCAAACACCACCTTCAAATTGGTGAAAACGGATCCGATCCCTCACAATTATCTCTCTGTTTAATATTTTTGACACAATTTTAATCCAATTATGACAGTCTAGACAGATACGCAGGTTTTTTGAAATCCTGATTTTTGTTCCAGGGCTACTTTTCAGTATCCCATAGGCCAAGGCCAACTTCTCACTATGAAACATTAAATTTTCCTCCTTTTCCTCTTCAGAAACATCCATCAAAACCAGATCCGTCAAGGGTGTGAATCCCTCCAACTTGGCTCTTTGGATCAAACCTTCCAGCACTCTGTAAATTGATTTCATTTCAGCATGCGACTGATCAGCAGCATTGAATTGGTGAATGCTGCCCCCCAATTCAATCCAACTTTTACCACGGTTTTTCCGAACACCTCCCATTTTCATTAATTGTCTCACTCTCTCAGCACTATCCCAGCTCTTTAAAGAGCAATACATATTTGACAACAACACAAAGTCTCCACTCTCTAGGCGGGATATATTTGCAATGGCAACTTCACCAAGTTCTTTCTTTCGGTAGATTCTACAAGCACTCAAAAGTGCTCTCCAAATAACAACATCAGGCTCCATAGGCATCACCTTAATCACAGCATAGGCCTCTTCCGTGAGCCCTGCTCGTCCCAAGAGATCAACCATGGTTCCATAATGCTCGAGCTGCGGCTGAATCATGTAATGGTGCTGCATCATATCAAAATACTTGCGACCTTCTTCAACCAATCCACAGTGGCTACAAGCAGTCAGAATCCCAATAAAAGTAACAGAATCCGGCAAAACACTCTCCATCTCCATCCTTGAAAAGACCAGAGTTGCATCCACCGCAAGCCCATGAATCGCCAACCCACTAATCATAGCATTCCAAACCGACACATGATCACGTGCAACCTCCTCAAAAACCTGCCTTGAAACATCAATCCTACCACACTTGGCGTACATGTCAATCACCGCAGCACTCAATATATAATTCAGTTCAACCCTCTTCTCAACCATCAAACCATGCACCCACTTGGCATTGCAAATAGCCCCAAGGCGAGCACACGCAGTAGCCACAGAAGCAAAGGTAAACCCATCAGGCTCAACCTTGGCACTCAGCATCCTCCGGAAGAGGCTCAAAGCATCAAAAAAGCGCGAGCTTCTGACATAACCACCAATCATGGAGTTCCACGTGACCACATCCCTAACAGGCATTTTGACAAACACCTTCTTGGCAACATCACATTGCCCACCTTTCACCAAACTTTGAATCACCAAATTCATGCTGAAGAGGTCCAAAACGTTGGAGAAAACGTGAAGGGCAATGTGGGGTTGGTGGCAGCGAGCATAGGTTGCTACGAGAGACGCCACAAGAGAAGGGTAGGTGGCGAAACCAAGTACCACAACTCTTGCGTGGGTTTTAGTGGCGGTTCTGAGATCCATGGAGACTCTAGAGCGTTCGAGAACTCGGTGGAGTAGAGTGTGATCTGGCAAAAGAAGAAAAGCGAGGGAATGAAGCGTTTTGCAATGAAAAAGATGGAATTTTGTGCGTGCCCTTCAAGTTCAAAGTGTGGATTGAGAAGAAGAGGGAAAAAGGGTACCTGTAGGTGTGAATGAAGATGAGAGGGAATGCAAAGAATGGAAAATGTTAGCTCCATGTCGTGATTTCATCATCCTTGCCTTTCAAAACTTTCATTCATCACATATTAGTTTCGTTTAGTTACTCCCTTTACATCATTGTAAATACATTCCTCATTTTTTTTCTTCTGATTTCTTTGGCTACTTAAATATCCTAATTTTCATCAAGTTGATTCAAGTTTCATCACCAAACTAAGCATACACTTAGATAAAATCAAATTTGAATCAATTATATTTAATGTGTAGTGTAATACTATGCGGCCAATAAAATTTAACAACTTCTATAACATTATATTTTTTTATTTATCTTTCTCTATTACTTTATTATATAGAAATATTTGTTAATGATGGATGAGACTCATATTTGTTTGAATATTTTGGTTTAAATGGAAGTATTTACCTAAATTTCCTTTAATTTGAGTCATTGATTTATTCAATTTTATTTAAAAAAAATTAACTTTAATCCATAATTTAAGTTTTTTTAATGAGATTTGTTAGTATTTTGATGTTTAATTATAAATGTGAAAAAAGAGGATGAAAAACATTAAAATAAATAAGAAGAAAATTTAACAAAACATTAAGAGAATAATTTCTATTAAATCCTCACGTTAAACGTAAAGTTTTCTTATTTAACGTTAGAATAAAATTTTGTAATTTGTTTATTTTACCGTATTAAGAATGAAAATTTTCTTGCTTAACATCATATTTTCAAAGATTATCCATGCATTTCATGCAACGCATGAAATTATCTATGTTTAGTGTCATGATTTTAACATGTTATTAAATAGAGGAAATAAAAGGGTTTAAGACAAAAAATTGAGGAACATTAACATATTTATTGATTGAAACATTTCTTAGAGTATGTGTTGTAGAGTATGAAGAGTTTTCATGGCTTCAAGTCTAAGTTGCTTCATTTCTTCAACAAATTTGTTGTTCTCCATATTTATATATAGTTAAGTTCACTTATTTGATGTAACTTAACCAATTTTCCACATCTATATGATGAGAGTTCTATTTTTATATGTAGCTAAGGTCATCCTTGCTACAATGAAGCTTGATGATGTATCAAGAATTGATGTAGTCTCAAACTTTAGATGAATGAATATATAATTTGAGTTCTCTATTTTTTTTCCTGAACTTTTTTGTCCTCTATTCCATTGTATTTGTAAGTATTTTGACTAACTTAAATTGTGTTTTGAATTAATATATTTTCTTAAATATTTTATCAAGATATAAAGAGTTACACGAGTGTTTGAAGGTAAATGAGTCTTTTTATAAAAACTTACATATATCGTCTTATCATTTAGACGAAACGTTGTTCTATGAAAAGATTTGTGAAAAAGTTGTCGAAACATAATTTAACCTTATACTGTGTTTTCTTATTTTCCACACATACTATACTACCACCTCAAACCTTGGGTTTTGCTACAACCCACTAACAACCATTAAAATACAACCCAAATAGCAATCTAATTTGAGCTTTGGCCACTTCTCTTCGCCTTTACCTTCACCTTGGATCAATATTTATTTAATATTCTAAAATATTTTACATTAAACTATTAAATTACATCTCTCAGATTATGAAACATTAACATTTATTTAGTTTTTCAACAATAAGAACCGTGTCATTTTTGGATTTATTACTGGTGAATAGAATAGAATAGACCTTAATTATATCTAATATTTGGTACATATCATGATAACAAATTATATAACATTATTATATATGTTTTGTAATTATATTTCAATAATATATTATATAAATTATATTTAATTA